CCAAACCTGTAAAGTCCCTGAAAAAGACATGCTTCCCAATGCCACTTCAGATATGGCCATGAAAATTCATGGACAAGGAGAAAACTCCCAGAAGGCAAAGCCAGGGCCACGGAGGACTGTGGACTGGGCAGTTATTTTCAGGGGCAGCAAAGACTAAACATAAACGTTCTCCACTGTTAGGGCAGGGAGCATTTTCAATTTATGCCTAGCAGGATTCAATCATTTCTATAGAACGGTGATTGCCATGTTTTCCACTTCTTCTTTTTCCCAGGGGGAGTCTCCATTGCAGTTACCCTGTTCTTGCTCGACGACTGTCTGTTGGTTGTCTTATAGTCACAGCTCACGAGGAGCCACATCCAGGCCCGATGGAAAGGGCTGAGCTGCACCCAGAGATCCCGGATTTTTGAGCTGGATGCAGCTGGCTGCCTCCCTTAGGAAGTGAGTAAATTCTCTATTTGGAAAGAAGGGTTGGTATTTGGTGGTCAGAGGGGCAGACTGTAGTGGTGATTGCCATTTTCCCACCAAAATCTTCCTCCTCCATAGTTATGGAACTGTAATTAGGATGTGGCTACTCAGGTGGGGACTGTATTTCCCAGCTCCTCTTGCACCTAGGAGTGCCTTTTGTTGACATTCTCACAGTGGAATGTGAACACAAGTGACTCCTACAGCTTCTGCTTCACTTGTTAAGATGAGACATTTGTGCCTGAACTGCTCTGACCCCTTCCTGCTGCCTTGGCTGGCAACAACTAGAGAGGCCGTGGAGCTCGTATCTTGAAGATGGAAAGGTGGTCACCAACGTGTACCCTTACGTGAGAGAGAAATGAACTTGTATTTTGTTTGAGTCATTGCATTTTTGGGTCTTCTTCTTAAAACAGCTTGCATTCCCCTGTACACCTGTGTTGGATATCATGTTTCCTGTACCCCACAAAGGAAGACTTTCTTAGCTCATTCCTTTATTTGGGTGGAGCACTTCCTCCATTTGCTTTCTTAGAAGGTGTCCTTGAGAGGTAAATATTTGTTGAATTCCTTTGCATTTGACCTGTTTTTATCCTTCTGGAAACTTTAAGGATCTTCTGTTTGTCTCCAGTGCTCTGGTGTGTGTCTATTTTCAACTATTGTGCTGGGTACTCAACCTTTCAATCTGGAAACTTGTATCTTTCATTTCTGGAAATAAAAATTTTTCTTTGATGAGTCCCTCCTCTGCATTTTGTCTCAATTCTTAGAAGAACTCTTAATAGTCAGATATTGGATTTCCTTGCCTGGCATTCTAATTTTCTTATGTTTCTCTCTTAACTTTCATCTGTTTGCCTTTTTGCTTTACTTTTTGGGAAATTTCCTCATATTTATCTTCCTTCTACTGACTTTCTTTTTCATTCATTGACTATTTCTTTTCTTTCTTTTTTAAATAGCACTCTGATCTTGAAGACCCTCTTATCCCTCTGAGGATATTATTGGTAGATTTTTTAAAGTTTTTTTCTTTCTGTGTGGGTTAAGTTGCCATTTCCTGTTCTTTTTGTGTGTGTCTTGTTTTGATCTCTATCTTTCAAGTTAAAAGATCTCCTCAAGTATGTGGTGATCATATTTTAAGCGTGGGGACTAAAAAAGTGTTTGGGAGCTCACAGCATATAAATGGGGCTTGTTCATTGTGAGCTTAATTATGGGGTGATCTGGCTGGACTCTCTTATCAGGGAACCCTGACTTCAGTATCTCTACGTCTTTCATTCCCATGCCCCAAAGAAGAGTCCTCTAATCTCCCGCCTAGAGGTTGAAGACCCAGCAGTTAGTGTGCTTGGACTTGAGTGGAGAAATTGGGCTGGGGTTGTGGGAGAGATTGTTTTATTATTCAGTACGTACATATCTGCTTTATCTTCCTTCTGTTTTATCCACTCCAAAAAAACTTACAGTCTTTTTCCTAGAAAGGGGATGGTCAGTAGTCCAGTTACTCAGAGTGGGGGAAGGGACCTAACTGCTTCTTAAACAATTTTAACCAATCCTCCTAATTATAGGACCTCTCTCTCCAGCTTCACTGCCACTTCCAGAGGCACCTGAGGTTATCAGGTCCTAAGCTTTTTGGTGATTCTATGGTGCAAATAAAGTTGCCTTTGGGCTTTCCCCATTACTGCTTTGCTAAATCATCTACCATTGGTCCATTTTTTTTTTTTTTTTTGATGTCTTCCAAAATCTTATTGCTGTCAAATCCTTTCCCATTCTCCTCATCCTTATGGGTTTATGCTTAAAAAAACAAACTCTATTGTGTTTTCAACAGAGTTTCCGGAGGAAGAAAATGAAGATCCATCTGTTCAATCTGACATCTTTCTCTGGAAATTACTCCCATTTCTGTTCATTCCCACTGCAATTGCTCTAATTTGAGCTACCATCATTGCTCAGCTGGTCCATTGCAGCAGCCTGCCAACTTCCAGGCTTGCTCTTTCCTCATCTGTTTTATTACACTGAAGTCAGAGTGGACTTTCTACAGAGCAAATGTCATTATTTCTCCACTTTCCTTTAAACCCTTCTTTGACTCTCTTTTGCTCTTAACTTGTAAGACCCTGCCCATCTGGCCTTGGTCTGTTTTTCACTTTCATTTCCCAACTTTCTCCCAGCTGCTCATTGGGCTCCAGCCATACTCTAACCTTAACACCCAAACGTGGCATCCCAGGGTACCCCTACATACTGTAACTTTAAAATTGTCTCTTACCACTTCCTCCAACCTCTCCCCTCCAAGCTTTTCCAGTTAACTTCTACTCATTGTCTATCAGGTCTTAACTTTAATTTTTCTTCTTCAGAGAAGCCTTTCATGTCACCCCAGACTAGGTAGGTCCTTTGTTGATGGTCTGATTGAAATATTTGCTATCCCTCCCCACAGGAGGGTTATACCTCCCTCCCCAGATGGTGTCAATATTCCATATAACACACTGGGAAATTCTACATTATAACTTTCATCACACTTTGTTGTTATTGCATGTTTAGTTGTCTGTCTTCCCAACCAGACCGTAAGCTCCAAGAAGGAAAGGTCCTGTGTCTATCTTATATACTACAGTATCCCCAGGATTTAGTATACTGCCTTGACCACCCAGAGACATGACAAAGACTCTCTCCTTGACCAAACTCTTGCATGGCTTCTACCAGGTTAAAACCATGTCCCCAGGATGACCCCCAGCCCCTTAAAATGCCTGCCTGAGAAAGCTCAACAGAGCCAGGAGAATTTACTGTGTGTTCTAGCCAAAAGCTGGTGATAGGCATACAGGGCCCTCAACTCCCTCTTCAAGCAGTTACTTCAGAAAGCTTGTGATTATAAATCTTTCCTCTGCCCCCTTGAGATATAAATCTTCTGTCACCCAGAACTGTCTTGGCAAGGACCTGAGAGCTGTCTCCTCTCAGCCTGGTGGTACCTTGCTCTAACTTGTACCATTGCCTGTCATAAAGATATGAGGCGCTTGTTTCTCTTTCAGATAAGTGCCCATTAACAAACCCAGGTGGCCTGGTCACGTGGATCAACACCCCTTGGCACCCTACAGTGCCTTTGCCTTAGTGCAACCCAGTCTTTAAAAAGTCTCTAGCCTTTTGTTTTGGGGAAATTAAGGTCAGTTCACTACATATCCTCTCCCCTATTGCAACAGTTATCACTGAATAAAATCTATGCTTATTGCTTTAACTAGTGTCTGGCTTTGTTTACCTTTGACAGTAAGCACACTAAGTATTACTGAAGTTATTAATAAACAATCTCTATATAGGTATGAACAGCTGTGGGGGGGTAGTTTCATTATTTTGAAGTTTCTTTCGGGATCTCTTTTATCTCCCTCTCTTACCCTCCAAGAAGCTGCTCATCTGTTATTTTTCTTTCACAATCTCTATATGAAAGATGACAATTATGTCCAAATCATCCACAGTGCATTTTGGGATTGAACTAGTCAGATTATTGTAGACAGATATAGAAAGTTATTCAAAAAGTCATACGGCTAAATTTCAATTCCCTGGTTTCTCTTTTTTTTTTTTAATAATTTTATTTATTTATTTTTCCCCCAAAGCCCCAGTAGATAGTTGTATGTCATAGTTGCACATTCTTCTAGTTGCTGTATGTGGGACGCGGCCTCAGCATGGCCGGAGAAGTGGTGTGTCGGTGCGCGCCCGTGTCCGAACCCGGGTCGCCAGCAGCGGAGCACACGCACTTAACCGCTAAGCCACAGGGCCGGCCCTCCCCGGTTTCTCTTTGAAACATTATTTTTTCCTCCCTATGGCTTAAAAACTTCAAAACTTTTACCACTTCTACGTCTGGGCCAACAATAAGAATTCAGTTCATGGGCTGGCCCTGTGGCTTAGCAGTCAGGTGCATGCCCTCGGCTTCTGGCAACCCAGGTTCGGATCCCCAGCGTGCACCCACACACCGCTTCTCCGGCCATGCTGAGGCCTCATCCCACACACAGCAACTAGAAGGATGTCCAGCTATGACATACAACTATCTAGTGGGGCTTTGGGAGAAAAAAAAATAAAATAAAATTATAAAAAAAAAAAGAATTCAGTTCAGTGCAGAAAGTCATGTGGGCGGGTTAGACATGAGTGCCAGAGTGGGTGAGTTTGCCTAAGCCTTGGCTCCACACGGCCCACACACCTCTTCCTCCCTCCATCTACGGACATGGCTCTGCTACCTGCTCTTGCAGGCTTCTGCTGTTCCTCCAAAATCTTCGCCAGTTAAACGCTCCTGTCGGTACTTTCAGGAAGCCCAGAGCGCCCCCCGCAACCTATGCCTCTCAGCGTCAACTTGTGCCTTGATTCCGATCCCACCGCGCTCCCTCTCCCAAGCTGCAGCCCAGCCTCGGCCTCCGCCCCCGCCCCCGCCCCCAGCCACGCAGGGGCAGTGGCTGACGGCGTCACGTGCTAGGACTCCGGCACGAAGCCGTCGCCGCCATGTTGATTTCTGGCGGCGCCCCCTAGACGAAGGGAGAAGGCGGCTGACGAGCCGCCCGGAGTTCCGGCCCTGGTGCGCAAGTGCGGAAGTGTGCTGGCCCCGAGTGTGACTGGTTTCCGGCCGGCGGTGCCGCGCCAGCTGCCCGGAGACGTGTAACGGACGGTGGGCTGTAGCCATGACCGAGAGGAAACCTAACGGTGGCGGCGGGGCCGCCTCCACCTCTTCGTCGGGCACTAACTTACTCTTCTCCTCCTCGGCCACGGAGTTCAGCTTCAACGTGCCATTCATCCCAGTCACTCAAGCCGCCGCTGCCTCGGCCTCCTTGCTCTTGCCCGGAGGTAGTGGGGGGGCGGGGTCCGCTGAGCGAGCGTGTGCGGGGAGGCGGGCGGGGGGCGTGCGGTGATGGGGGTCGGACGGGAGGTTTTCCTTCTGCCTCGATCCAACCGTCTGGGTAGCTTGCCAGGGCCATCAGTGGCCAGGTTTGAGGCTTTGGGATCTTAGAGGCGGGGACCAGGTCCTGAGGCTTGCTCTTCGTCGAAGGAACCTCTGTTCCGAGTGCTGGGCGCTCCTGCGCTGGCATTTCACAAACTTTTATTGAACACCTACTGATGTGCTAGGTGCTTGCAGGGAATGCACATAAATTAGACAGTGCCCCCTCTCCTAGGATACAGTAAGATATCTCCTAGGATACAGTGGGATATCTCCTAGGGTAGGCAGTGTCCTTCTCCTAGGATAGACATGTAATATTTGCAAAGTAGAGGTACAGAATGCAATCCTTGTCTCTCAAGGCAGTGCATCATTTCCTCTAAAAAGCTGTTTCTTGTTCTCTTAGGTCCCTACTCCTATGTGCACCCTAGCTCTTTTTTCATATCTTTATCATTGTTTAGGGAGATTGCTGTTTAACAATTATGTGGCATACCCAGAGCTTGGTGTTTAGGAGCACAGACTTGTTTTTCAGCCCTGGCCCTGCAATAACTTGCTGTGTGACCTCAGGCGTGTTAGTTTACCTCTCTGTGCTTCAGTTTCCATATATTTACAGCCTCATAGGGCTGTAATGAGAAGTGAATTAATTTTTGTAAAGCAGTGAGTATAGTACCTGGCACATAGCGTTATATAAATGTTTGTGAAATAAACATATTTGCCTCTCTGTTTGGATTGTGGGCTTCTTGAGGTTTACAGCTATGACTTATTTACCTTTTTACTTTTAAGATCTTGTTTAGTGCTTAGCACATAGATCCTCAGTAAATACTAAATATTTTCCCGTTGAATAATTTCTGCTTGCTTAGAGGACTAAGGAAAGTTTCATGGAGAAATGAAGGGCAAACCAGAGGCAGCTGTACTTGAAGGTTCCCCTTCCCTTTGGTTATGTTTCATCTTGGTGCTTATCACCAACTGGCATATACACATATTTGTTTATTTTATCCCACTAGAGTGTAAGCTCCATGAGAGCAGGAACTTATACCTAGAACAGTGCCTGGTGTGCTGTAGACCAATTTTTCAATAGGTTTTTGTTGAACCAATGAAAGGATGAGAGTCAGGAATATGTATGTCTCATTTTGACAGTGTGGCTGAAAGGTTAAGTGTTGCCATTTTTGGTGAAGGACTAGCCTGGCTGGAGCAGAATGCTGTGGGAAGTTGCGTGAATAAATAAGGCCATACGTGGGGTTTTTGTATTATTTTCTGCTTCACAAATGTTTGGTTCATGCCTGTCTTCCTTGCTATATAGCATTTGGTTTGTGTGTGTCACTATCAATTAATGCTGAACATTTTCATTGTCAAGTACAGGATAACTGTACCTGTCTTGAAAACTTGTTTCTTGGAGATAGCTTACTTTTTTTTTTTCTTTTTGTGAGGAAGATCAGCCCTGAGCTAACATCCATGCCAATCCTCCTGTTTTTGCTGAGGAAGACTGGCCCTGAGCTAACATCCATGCCCATCTTCCTCCACTTTATATGGAACACCACCACAGCATGGCCTGACAAGCGGTGCGTCGCTGCGTGCCCGGGATCCGAACCTGGGCTGCCAGCAATGGAGTGCACGCACTTAACTGTTACGCCGTGGGGCCGGCCCCGATAGCTTACTTTTTAATGAGGAAATTAGTAGTTTTTAGAGCTAAAATTCTATAACAAATATTTCTCCACCTCTAAAAGAGATTTGATCGTTAGAAACCCATTCAGAGAATTTCCAGAGACGAAAGAAGAACCTGTCTCGTGGGAAGCAACAGTTAATCATGTCAGTGAAAGAGACACATAGGAAGCAGTTTCATTCATTCAATAAACATGGGTTGAGCAGCTTCTATTTGCGAGGCCCCATTCCACATGTCAGGGAGACGCGGAAGAGCAGATAGCATTGCCATCAGTGACTGCACAGTACGCACACACACACTGTACCCAACGGTGTAAGCAGTTGTGATACGGGTACGTAATGGCGGGAAAAAGGGGTTGATAAGGCTGCTGTGAACGCTGTGGCTGACCAGGGAGAGGACATCCCTTAGGCCTGCAGGGCCTCACAGAGGAGATGCTTCTTGAGCTGAGTGTCGAAGGATACATAGAAATTAGGGAGTCTGGAGAGACAGGTATGTGTGAAAACCTGTAGATTTGGCAGGATTTGCTGGTAGGTGCTCACGTTCTCCCTCCCCCTCTCTCCCTGCCCCTCCACCAGTAGATCGGTGTGACTAGAGTGTGTGCAGCGGAGTGGCTCGAGGGGTCAATGGGGACCAGATTACGAAGGGCTTCATATGCCATACTGAGGAGTTTGTAGTTCATCCTTTGGGGTGTGAGGAGCCTCTGAAGGATGTTAAACAAGGCAGTGAAATTAGAGGTGTGTTTCAGAAAGACTGGAGTTTTCTGAGATTGCACCAGAGTAAAGCTGACTGTCACGAGAGCGATCAGTCTGGAGGCCACACTGAGTCAGGCAGGAGTGGACAGTGTTCTAGCCCTAGTCAGCCACATTGGGTATGAAGAGCAGGGAACACGTGTGAGATTTTTAGACTGTAAAGTTGTTGGGACTTAGTGACTCACTGAAGGCCAGACTGTCAGCACAGAGGTGCCTTCTGTTTGTTCAATTTTAGCCCCAAGACCTAGCTCTCTGCCTGGTATATAGTGGATGCCGTGTACATATTTCTTGAATGAAGATTTGAATGATGAAATGAAGGGTATGAGAGAGAGGGATGAGTCTGAGAGACTAGATTTCTGGTTTGAGTGGATTGATGTTGGCAAACATCTGTTGAGATAGTGGTAAAAGGAGCACCTGGAGGGGGACAGTTAAGATGGTAAATTCAATTTTAGGCTTACTAAGTTTGAGGTGTATGTGGCTAAGTCTGCCAAAAGAATTGAGGAAGCAGTTGGAAAATAGGTTCTGGACCATGCGAGAACAGTCTCGATTTGAGACAGAGTTGTGTCGACCCAAAATAACCAATAACTGTTCTATAGATAAGAGAGATAGGTGAGTTTACTTGAGCCAGAGTGAGGATTATAACCCAGGAAGACCTTTTACAGAAAGGAAGAAAGCCTTCCAGAGAAACATGGTTTTCTTACAGTTTTATGTCTTTTTAGAGCAAAGAACGTACATTAAACATGCCCAGGATACATTTTCATAAAAGTTTCAAATAGGTAGGTAGTTGCAAATTAGCAGGTCAACATGACCCTGGTGTTGGGAAAGGGAACTTATTTTAGGAGTACAAATATGGGTGCTAACCAATAGGGCGTAGGAGGGGAAGTATGCATTCTTAAGAGTGTGTTCTTTACTTTAATGGATAAAGCAGATGTACAATGTATGTTTGATAGGCCAAAGTCAGGTTTTTTTTTTTTAGTTCAAGCCGAATCAGTTTTGAATCAGAATACTTATCTCATTTATCCCAATATGTGAACATCTCTTGTCAGTTGGGAGTGTCACAAGTATACAAGTGCTCATTAAAGTTGTGGGTCTCAGTGCCAAATGTGTCCACATGTAATTAGAAAGTGCCCCTGAGATGAGGCTGGCAGTGTGTTGAGATCAGTATTCCATTTGTATGACACTAATCAGAGAAAAAGTTTCATGGATCAGGTTAATCCCAAGTTGTTTAAAGGATAAAAGATACCACCGAGGTTTTTCCATGCTTTTGATTGCTGAGAGATGGACTACAGGTGAATCCAAGTGAGGTTGGACTCAGTGAGGGACTGAGAAGAGAGAGTGGGACCTGGAAATATATCAGAAAAGTAGAATGATATAAGCAGATAAAGGGCCTTGTGCAGGAAGTGATATTTTATTTTTAGTTACAAAGAAACAACTGAGAGGAGTATTGTGAATAGTGGAGTATCTTGGTTCAGTTGATGTATGTGAAATATAATGGGAGCATCCTAGAAGCTCAAGCAAGAGTCTCTGTGAGCCCAGTGGCCCCTTTCTGCAGAGGTCAAGAAGGAGCCTGGACCTTGAAAGAAGGCCCCTGTGGCAGTCTCAAGGGCAGGGATCACAGTGTGCCTGTGTGCTGGCTGTGGGTCCACCCCTCTGGTTGGGCTCCATGCCTCCAGCTGTAGAAGAGGGAATGAGCCAGGAGAAGGAAAAGATTAGGAAGAGGAGGACAAAAGTTTCAACAAGCTAAAGGCTCATAGAAGTTTAGTAAGGAAGAGTAGGCTGGACTTTTGAGGCCATGTGGAGGGAAAATGTTTTTATTTTACAACTTGGTGGCAGAAGAGAAGATAAATAGTTTGGTGTTGATAATACCCACAGTGAAGATCAATTTGGGCAAAGGGAAGTGAGGAGAACTTTCTTTGGTTAGAAAATGACTTTTCTAGCGATTGGTGTTCCCTAACGACTAATTATTGAGTTGTGATACTGTGTGATTTTAGTGATGGCAATTAGTGGTTGACCTACTTTGCCTTGGGAGTGCAAATACCACATGTTCATTTGTACAATGAGTGCTTTGTAGGTAAGAGCCTTGACACACCCCTTCTTGTCAACAGTTAATAGCTGTACTTTAGTTTCTTGTCATTACTGTAGAAATAAAACTATGTGTATTTGGGTAGTAGAATAATATTTGAATTATTTCTTACAGGAAAAAACATTCAAAATAACACGTAAAAATATTAGGTATAGATTTTGTTTCTATTTTTAAACGCTTCTATATAGAAATATGTATAATTTATATTTATTTACAAAATAAATAATACATAAGTATTTATATTTATTTAAAAAGTATGGAAGGGTATGTACCAAGATGTTACCAGTATTAACAGTGATTGTCTCTGGGAGGTGGGCTTATGAATGAATTATAATTTTTCTCTCCTTTTGTTTCTTATTTATATTTTCTAGTTTTTCATTTAAAACAAAAAAGTTTTCAATTTTTTCTCTGTAATGCAGAAATATAACAACAAAATAAGAGGTACAATTGCTAGGTCTGCTGTATAGATTCCTATCTACAGAATGATAGAATACCCTTTAAACCATTTGCCCTCCTGTTCCCTTTCAGAGGATTCCACGGATGTTGGTGAGGAGGACAGCTTCCTTGGTCAGACTTCTGCTCACATGTCTACCCCACAGACATTTAGTTACTTCTCTCAGGTATCGAGCAGTAGTGATCCTTTTGGGAATATTGGACAGTCACCGTTAACAACTACAGCAACATCGGCTGGACAATCAGCATTCTCCAAGTCCCCAACTGCTCTCCCTTTTACAACGGGATCCCAAGATATGTCAAATGCATTTTCACCATCTGTTTCGAAGGCTCAATATGGTGCTCCACCTTGTTCACAGATAGGAATAAATACTTATCTGCCTTCTCAGCCAAGTAGTCTCCCGCCTTCAAGTTTTGGGAGCCCACCCCAAGGAACACCCCAACAAGGATACAATCCATATCGCCATACCCCTGTAAGCAGCAGGGCTAATCCTTATATTGCACCACCACAGCTGCAACAGTGCCATACACCAGGCCATCCCACTCATCCTCCGCCCTCTGGACCCCCTGTTCAGATGTACCAGATGCCTCCAGGATCATTGCCACCGGTAGGGAGATGTGTTTTTATATCCTAAGTGTTCACTCTAATTTTTAATCTCTCTCTCATCTTAGCCTATGTTTTTAAAAACGCTGTGCTTTTAATAATCAATATGATGGCACATTATTTTTAGAGGTATTCTTTGTAAGCTACATGATTTGAAGTAAACATTCTATTAAAGGTAGCACATTGAATGGTTCATATTTTAGTTTATATTGTCTATTTATGGAAGTAGTAATTGATTTTAATGAGTTAACTTATGTCAGTATTTCCAGATTTTAATGTAAGATACCAATAATAAATGTCATCTGGGGACTTGTGAGAGTCGAGGCAATTATTAACAGACTGCCAGCTTCTCATTTTTTAATTATACTGTTCAATCAGAACACTCAATTACAGCGACTAAAATTGATTACCTCAATAATTTCTTTTATTTACATTTGTGGAGTTTGGATAGACAGTCAGACTATCTCAGGAGAGTGATGGAATAACATTTGCATTGGGTAAGTTTGATGAAATTCCCTTATGCTTTTTTCCAGCTAATTATTCAACTGACTTCCAAAGGGAAATCAACTGAATCAAAAAAGGGAAATGATTAAAAGGAAGAATTAAGAACCAACTCAGTGTGGCAGAGATAGCAGTGTTATAATCGGAGTGTAACCTAACTTCTCTCTTGGGGTTAGAGAATGGGCTCCATTTTATCATTTAATTTAAATCATATCGGTACACAAACTCTTGATAATGTTGGATTTTAGCATATTGGAAAGTAACCAGATTCATAGCATGTAGTATAGTTAATAGTTACATTTTTGCTAATTAAATTTTTGAAAAGACTTCTAATTAAGAATTTTTTTTTTTTTTTTTGTGAGGAGATCAGCCCTGTGCTAACATCTGCCAATCCTCCTCTTTTTTTGTTGAGGAAGACTGGCCCTGGGCTAACATCCGTGCCCATCTTCCTTCACTTTATATGGGACGCCGCCACAGCATGGCTTGCCAAGCAGTGCGTCAGCGCGCCCAGGATCTGAACCGGCGAACCCTGGGGCTGCCACAGCGGAACGTGCACACTTAACTGCTTGCGCCACCGGGCCGGCCCTCTAATTAAGAATTTAAGAAGATGATAATTTCAAATTTAAAGAAAAGTTGCAAAAATAAAAATAGCACAAAGAACACCCTAGTACCCTTAAGTCACATTTACTAATCATTAACGTAATACTCCATTTCTTCTACCATTTGTGCGTGTGTGCGCACTGTCACGAGTTTGAGCATTCTTTTTTCTGTCTTTCTCTCTCCCTTTGTCACTCTGTATTTGTGCAATTTTTGGGGGAAACATTTGGGAGTCAGTTAGATATGTTGTGACTCTTTGCTCCTAAATACTTTAGTGTGTATTTCCTAAGAATAAGGATAGTCTTTTACATAACTGCAGTACAGTTATCACCTCAGTAAATTTAACAGTGGTGCAACATTCCAAAATGATTTTTAATTAAAAAATATAAAAATAATTTTATTATGATTTTAAAAATATTTTCATGCAGAAGATTTGAAAAATGCAGAATAATCAAATGAATAAAAATTGCCGCCATATAACCCCTCTTTTCATTTTGTTATATGTCTGTCTTATCTTTTTTCTAGACAAACATCATATGGTGTTTTCTAGCCAAATATTGTATATGGCTTTTGTGAACATATTTGAGATATTATTAAGATTTTTTCTATACCATTTTTAGTGGCTCTAGAGAATTACAGCATTTGAATAAAAGATAATGTATTTAATCAGGTTTCTGTTAGACATTTGAATTGTGTCCACTGATTTTCTATTATGAATAACCTTTTGGTATACATCCTTGTACATAAATTTTTACTTGTTTTTATAATTATATCTTTAGGATGAATTCTTAGAAATGGAATGGCTAGGTCAAGGAATATGCACGTTTTAAAGATTACATAAATTACGGAAGACATATTGCTGGATTGATTTCTGTAAAGGTGTTAGTTGACTTTGCCATCATGTGAGAAAGCCCAGTTCACTTTGTGACTGATTTGGGGTTTTGTTAGATTTAAGAAAAAATTTTAATTGCTTTGGGGCCTACTTATTAAACTAAATAGTTGTCCAGAAATTTATGTAGGATAATTATTATTAATGTCAGTTTGGGTCTGAAGCATATAGAAAATTGTTCCTGTGGATAAACATGAGGGTCCTAACTTTTTTGTCTCCTCCAGATTCCTCCTGCAGTGCAGTCGGGGCTGCCCCCTCCAACCCAGCAGCAGACACTTGCTAGACCTGTGGCTCCCTCTGTGCAAGCGCCACCTCCTTTTTTACTTCAAAACCAATATGAACCTGTTCAACCCCACTGGTTTTACTGCAAGGAGGTGGAATACAAACAACTATGGATGCCTTTCAGTGTGTTTGACTCTTTAAATCTTGAAGAAATCTATAATTCAGGTAAGCACTGGTCATGCATCGTTTGTGTCTGCTTTTAGGAAGAGAAGAAATGAAGGGTATTTATCTATGGGCTACTTTTTGTGAATGTCAGATTCCTTAATCCTTGTAGACCTCACCAGACTCTGTACCTTAACATAGTGATATTATTTTTTATTTATTTATTTTTTTTGTGAGGAAGATCAACCCTGAGCTAACATCTGCCAATCCTCCTCTTTTTTTTGCTGAGAAAGACTGGCCCTGGGCTAACATCCATGCCCATCTTCCTCTACTTTATATGGGACGCCGCCACAGCATGGCTTGACAAGCGGTGCGTCGGTGCGTGCCCGGGATCTGAACTGGCGAACCCCGGGCCGCTGCAGCGGAATGCGCGCACTTAACCGCTTGCGCCACTGGGCCGGCCCCAAGATAGTGATATTAATATAAGTCCTGAGTGATTTGAGCTAGGTATTTGAAGAAATGTTTTTTAATTTTCAACAATTTGAACATTTCAACAATTTAAATGTTTTAGTTATTTTCTTTAGTTTAAAAATGTTTTAAATCAGAGAAATAGAGTAGTTCATATAATCCAGGTGTCAATTTTCCTATTTCCCTTATTTATTTAGTTATGAGGCATTTATAAAGTATTTTCTATGGAACTCTTGTTCCTGAAGATGCTCTGAAAAAAATGTTCCATGGTTAGGTGAGTTTTGGAAATGCTGTAACTTATCCACCTCTTGAGATAGACACTGCACAGGAGTATGTTAAGGCTCTGAGAAATCTTGCGGTAATAGAAATAGATTTCTTTGTGTGTCTTGATGATATCTCGTCATGGGACTTAAAAATCACCAACTAGGATCCTGAGAAATGTACTTCCTGGAGTATTGCTGCTTTGATTTAAAAACAAAATCCATGAGTTATTTGAATTATTTTATGATCATGTTTTTAAATTTTGCCCTGGCTATTTCTTCTTCACTTGAGTCATGGGCCGGCCCCATGGCGTAGCTGTTAAGTGCGCGCGCTCTGCTGCTGTCAGCCCGGGTTCGGATCCCGGGCACGCACCTATGCACCACTTGTCAGGCCATGCTGTGGCGGTGTCCCATATAAAGTGGAGAAAGATGGGCACGGATGTTAGCTCAGGGCCAGTCTTCCTCAGCAAAAAAAGGAGGATTGGCGTGGATGTTAGCTCAGGGCTGATCTTCCTCTCACACACACACACACAAAAACAAAAAAGCACAAGGAAGAGTCATAATTGTGAGTAGCACAGATCAAATTTCTATTTTTAAACAAAAATGAGCTTAGTTCTATTGTCTTTAAGGATTGACTTGTCACCATATTTGTTATTTATTACTTTTAAATATGCTTTGTAACTGTCGGGTTAAAATGTGGGCTTTGTGCTCCAGTCCAGCCAGACCCTGAGAGTGTGGTTCTTGGCACGGATGGAGGGCGCTACGACGTTTACCTCTATGACCGAATGAGGAAAGCTGTGTACTGGGAAGAGGAGCCAGCTGAAGTGAGACGCTGTACTTGGTTTTACAAAGGGGACACGGATAGCAGATTTATTCCCTACACAGAGGAGTTCAGTGAAAAACTAGAGGTGCGTGGGCTTTATTTATCCCTTGATGCTTTTCTTTAAAAAAAATGTAGACTCTTATTCATTGGAGCTTCATGTAACACTACTCACAGTGGAGCAGACTTTATTTATAAGAGAGCCTGTCTTGGTCTTATTGACAAAGAAGATCGCTTTTTAAGTGATGCCATCATTCATGAGGTCCCAGTCGTGGCCTCAGTGTCTTTCAGGGGCACATCACAGACCTAATGAGCTACTTACTTGTGTCAAACCTTCAAAAGAACTTAGTCTTCTGGGATCTGTTGACAACACATGCCAACCATATGGACGCGTTTCAAATTAATACTCAGTGAAAGGCTTGAAATTAACCTCTGGTTTATGATAATAAATACAAAACAAAATAGGAACAAATGTCATGAGACTTATTAGCCATTTTATAACTGGTGGTTCATGTTGTTTTATCTAGTTGTGTTAATTTCTTGTGATAATTCTCCTTCATAGTTGAGTATTAAATATTTGATATAAGTTAAATGAATTCAGTTGCTTACATGGGAAATGAGATATAGAACATTTTAGTTACTGTTTTTTAATGGAGTAGTTATTAAAACTTGGATAACCAACACCAACATTAAACAAAACAACGCTAATTTTAACATTAAAAAGAGCCTCTAAAATCTTGCCTGGATTCATGTTTTGAATAGCTTCAAGCAAGGTTTTGTGTTCTGTTTAGGAGCTGACAGTCAAGTTTAACAGCTGGCTATTAATTACTAAATTTTTTTGTCCTGAGAGAACTTAATAATATAATTAATAGAAATAAGGAAAAATTAAATCACAATCTTGTCATCCTTTCAAATCAAACTCTACATTTAAAAGATATTTTCTTAGACTATTGTCTATCCATATACATATTTTTTATAACAATTATAGATTTTTTGTGGAGTATATTTTACTTTTTTAAAAAAAAAAATTTATAAATGCAATTCTTAGTTGTTATCAATTGTGCCTGCTCTGGAAATGTTAATCTCTATAGTAGTAACTTTGAAATACTATTCTGTAACCAAATCAGCACCAAAAGGTGAGTGTTGGCCTAAAGTAAGACAGGTTAGTTGGAGTTACATAAATTGGAAAAGAAGCTTGTTGAGAGCAGAGGCTTCAAATTTTTCTCATTTCGACCTGTAGTAAGAAATACATTTTACATTGAGATTTAGTACACACGCTTTGCGCGCGCGCGCGCACACACACACGCCTATACGTATATTTATTTACCAGAAACAGTGATATTTGGTAAACTGCCTATCCAGGAAAAAAAGCCCCTGATTTATAGCATTTGCTGATTTCCGTAGTGTAAATACTCCCACCATGGCCAATTTTAAGCTATCAACATGATGTTATTGGACACAGAGTTGAGAAGAGATATGTGTGATCAGCTCTTGTGAGCTGGTGTGAGCCAGCTCTAATGCACCACTAAAAATAAAAGTCCATGGAACAGTCCTTAGCCTTCTAGGTGTCATTCACTTTGATATTTTCTATTTCATTTAAAACAGTGATTTTACATTTTATTACTGGTCATGACCCACAGTTTGAAAAAAACTGATTTAGAGCAGAGTCAGAACCTAGTTAAGAAGAGCAGAGAGTGAAAAGAAGGCATAAAATTAATTTTGTTGTTGGAAATACCAAATGTCAGGAGGCACCAGTCTTAATTTTAGTTATTTGAATAAGGAAAAAAATGTGTAAAGGAGTGCTGAAATCTATAGCTTAGTTTTAGACCTAAATAATTAAACAAACGTGTACTATAATTTTTGGCACCTTTGATAGGACTCTCCTGAAGGTATAACATCTCAAGGCTGGATGTTTAGTCCTATTATTTTAAAGCTAAAGTATATATTTTCAAGTCTAAACAGTATCTGAAAGTATAAACTTTATCCTAACTGTATCTGTTTATAAATGGGTGACACTGGGTTTGAGGTGGGATAGCTATCCATGTACTGACCATCTGAACAGCACATGGCTGTTCTTAACCTAGGGAGACTTTACCTCCTGGGTAGCCACTTCCAGGAAACTCAGACCACATCAGGGAAGAGGAAGGGCAGGTTAGGAAGTAAGAAAGCCCATGAGAAAAAGAGAACCAGATGATACATATTGCTCAGTATTGTATAGGGGATCCTGTCCTATCAGCACTAAGACAAAACAACAGAAGAGTTGGAAACAGAAAACACTTTTAACTTGATGACGACATGATTGTCTACATAGAAAATCAGGAGAACCTCTACCATTAGCATCGCAAGTCTGTGGATATAAAATCAACATATACAAATTAATAACATTTCCATACAATAGAAATAACAAATTAGAAACCATAATGAAAAAAGAAGATACTATTTATAACACTAACAAAACTACAGAATAAGTAGGAAAAAAAGTCCAACAAAAGATATATATGAGCTAAATGGAGAAAAACTATAAAACAGATTTGAAGGACGTAAAAGATGACCTCAAGAAATGGAGCTAATATTATGTTCATAGGTGCACAGTCTCAATATAATAAGGATATTAGTTCTTCCCAAATTATTTTATAAATTTTATGTAATCCCAATCAAAATCACATTAGGGTTTTTTACGTAAAATTTGAAAACTGCTTCTAAATTTCATATGTAAAGTCAAAGTGTCAAGAATAACCAAGACCATTTTGAAGAATGATGTGTGGAAACTTGCTCTACCAGACAAGATTTATTATAAAGCTGTGGATTGAAAGGAAATATGAAGAAGTGAAAATAATTCTTAAAATGGTAAAACTTTTCTTTCTTTAAACATTTTTGTTTGTAATCTTGATTTTAAAAATTATAAATAGGGGCTGGCCCCACGGCATAGTGGTTGGGTTCAGTGTGCTCCGCTTCAGCAGCCCAGGTTTGTGGGTTCAGATTCGGAGTGTGGACCTACATCACTTGTCACCATGCTGTGGTGGCGACCCACATACAAAATAGAGGAAGATTGGCACAGATGTTACTTAGAGGAAGAGGAGGTTAATCTTCCTTAAGCAAAAAAAGGAGGAAGGTTGGCAACAGATGTTAGCTCAGGGCAAATCTTCCTCACCCCAAAAAATAAAAAAAATTATAAATATGTTTAAAATTTAAAAAAGCAAAGTGAGGGAGAGGGTCAAATGGATAGAGGCTGATGGAGAGGAATTGTTACTGAATGACTGTCCAGGAGACAGAAAGAAACATTTCTATTTTGACATGATTGTCAAATAATCATTGTTATTAATCATCTTGACTCTCCAAGAGGCCCTCACTTTTGCCTTGTAGAAAGCAGAGTAGTATATCTGGAGGAAGAGTAAGAAAAGGGTTGAACAGTTAAGTCTTTGGAGTCAGAAAGTTGTGGGTGGGAGTGAACTACGTTCCTGCCTTTGCTACTTACCAGTGTGTAATCTCGTGAAATTGTGAACTTAAAATCTCTACTAGGGGTTGAATTGTGCTCCCCCCACCCCCAAAAAAGATATGTTGAAGTCCTAACCTCCAGGACCTCAGAATGTGAGCTTATTGGGAAATAGGGTCCATGCAGATGTAATTAGTTAAGATGAGATCATACTGGAGTAGGGTGGGCCCCTAATCCGAAATGACTGGTATCCTTATAAGAAGACAGCCGTGTTAAGACACAGAGCAACAACGCCATGTGAAAATAGAGGATTTGAGTGATGTATCTGTAAGCCAAGGAACGCAAAAGATTGCCGGCACACCACCAGAGCTAGGAAGAGGCAAGGAAGGAGTTCCCTGTAGGTTTCAGAGGGCGCATGGCCCTGCTGACACCTTGACTTCGGACTTGCAGCTCCAGAACTTAGACAAATTTCTGTTGTTTTAAGCCATGCAGTTTGTGGTACTTTGTTATGGCAGCCCTGGGGAACTAATAGACTGTCTAAACCTTGGTTTTCTCCTCTATGTAGTGGGGATAATATTATTTAGGAGTATTGAGAGTAATTGATTGAATGAGGTAATGTATGTAAAATGATAAGCAAGTATGGAAACCAGTTAGTATCTGAGAGCTGCTATTACTGTTATTTTTATGACCATCATAGTTATAATTTTCTTTCACACTTTCTCTCAGTGTGGTATAGATTTGTCTTATATGTTGTTTCCATTATTGTAGGCTGAATATAAAAAAGCTGTAACCACCAATCAATGGCACCGTAGATTAGAGTTTCCAAGTGGAGAGACAATTGTTATGCACAATCCAAAGGTAATGATATTAAGATATTAAAGTGTTAGGTTCATTTTCATAATTATTTTGCTGAATGTGTTTGATAAATGTTTATTTTTTATTAACTTCTGCAGTGGGGATATATTTATTACAAGTGCATTGCTTTTAAAACCTTGCTGTAGTTCACATTGATCATAGAAACAAAAATGAAATTTAAAGTTTTCTCATGAAGTTTTTATAACAACGTGTTAGCTGAAGCTTAGTGTGTCCCATTGAAGTTGTTTGATAAATTTTTGTACTTGATCAGGGGTCAGCAGACTTTTTCTGTAAAGGGCCATAGAGTAAATATTTAAGGCTTTATGGGCCACATGGTCTCTGTTGCAGCTATCAACTCTGCCATTGTACCCTGAAAGCAGCTACAGATAATATGTAAACCAATCATTGTGTCTGTTTCAATAAAACTTTAATTATAAAAGCAAGCGCTAGGCCAGATTAGGTTTGCAGGCCATAGTTTGTCCACCCTGCCCTTGATGATGGTTTGTTTCAACCTTGAAAGTAAAAATATGTCCTTCCTCTTTTTATTTGTATTGTCTCCATGAACTTTTCATGTGTTTTTAAGATATTAATTAGTGGTGTTCTGATTCTTTCATTTACCATCCTTAATCTCTCTGCGCTCCAGGTTCCTCACCTGCGATAAGATTTACCTCCCAGCGTCATATTTTAGATAAAGTGAGATAATTGATGCAGAAGCATCTCGCATAGTGCTTGGCATACAGAAGTTTCTCAGCACATATGCTATTTATTTCAGAAAAGTACAAAAGGAAACAAAAATAACCTATAATCTAACCACCTCAATAGTCCTTATCGATATTGAAATAAATAAAAATAAAAGCATATTCATATGCCAACAAAATTTAAGCAGTATAAAAAGGTATCAAATGAAAAAAGCCTTTTACCACTGTATTCCCCCAATTTCTCCTCGTAATGATAACCACTCTTAACCTTTTGTTTTTGTTTTTTTAACCTTTGTTTTTTATACAAACACAAAAATTTTGCATACCATCTTGCATGCGTTCTTTTCTTTTTTTTTAAAGAAAAATTTTTGTATGACACCAGGCTAAATTTAATACAGGCTTGTGCTGAAAAATGATATTTCAGTCAACGACAGATCATATATGCAACAGTAGTCCTGTAACATTTTAACAGAGCTCACAAATTCCTGTTGCCTAGTGATGTTGCAGCCATTCTCAGTTCATAGCACAACGCATTACAGTCATGTGCCGCATAATGACGATTTGGTCAACGATGGGCTACATGTATGACGGTGGTCCTGTAAGATTAGTACCATATAGCCTAGGTGTGTAGTAGCCTGTACCATCTAGGTTTGTGTAAGTACACTCTATAATGGTTGCACGACTATGAAATCACCTAACAACACATTTTTCAGAACGTATCCCCTGGTTAAGTGATGCATGACTATACCATTGATTTAAAAATATATGTCTTCCTAAAATGTGGTGGGTAAATCAGTTTTTGGCATTCAAATTGAATTTGTATATTACTTGGGAATCTTACTATTTAAAAGATTTTGCCGTAAATGTTTTTCTAAGACAAAGATTTCTCTATTCCAGGTAACTTTTCCTTAATTTCTTATGTGTAAACCTAGATTTTTATATTACATTTTTAAATCAAAGTATACTACTTCTGATTTAGTTGTATTATTTTCCAACATAAGCATTGGGAATAATGGTATTGATTTGCTTAGTTTTAATGGTTAATGGACAGTAGCAGGACTTTTACAAAATTGGTTTTGGGAGAACAGTACTGGTACTTGATTTATAGACTATCCATTCTACGAAGTATTTTATTATGTATTGAAATAAATTATTTAGACTGGAGTGGAAATGAATTTGGTAGTGAGCGGTAGTGAGTGTCATAATCCTTCTGTTGTATCTTGAAGGTTATTGTTCAGTTCCAGCCTTCATCAGTGCCAGATGAATGGGGAACCACACAAGATGGACAGACAAGGCCCAGGGTTGTAAAGCGTGGAATTGATGATAACCTTGATGAAATTCCTGATGGTGTGTATAGTTTGTTTAGGACCAAGGTCATTTTTAGACTTCTCTATTTTAGCCTCATTTTTTAGAATGATGAAAAAAGAAACAATTATTAGGATTACCCACCATAACATGCAGAAATCAGCCAGGTTGGCACATATCTTTCTTTTTAATTTTATTACTTTTATATCTGTTTACTTTTTAATTTAAAATTTTGTTGAAGATATACAAACCATGTATTATAGATTCTAAAATATGTATTGTTGTGAAGAAGCACTTTGCTTGTTGAAACTATTAGGCTTTTGGCAATACTTTTGCCCTTGTTTGGTCATGCCTCATCTTGTTTGTATTACTTTAGCACAGAAGTTGGCAAACTTTTTCTGTGAAGGGCCAGATAGTAAATATTTTAGGCTTTGCAGGCCATGTGGACTCTATTGCATCTGCTCAACTTGGCCATTGTAGTATGAAAGCATCTATAGACAGTATGTAAACAAATGGGTATAGCTGTGTTCCAATAAAACTTTATTTATAAAGACAGGCAGTGAGCAGGATTTGGCCCATGAGCTGTGGTTTGCCAACCCCTGCTCCAGTATGTGTGTTTTGGTTTCTCCTATTATACTATTTACAGTATGGATTTTATTTTGACACTTACATACTTCGTTTGTTTCATTGTCTTATGAAATTACAAAATAAATGTACTCATATTGTGAATCTGAATGAAATAACCAGAGTAAAATAGTAGATTTAAGTTGGAGATATTCCTATATAGTATGTATGAGTCTAACAAATTAAAGGGAAAGATTTTAAAGTTTGTATTGGCAAATTGCTTTTCCATGTGGGGCTTAGTGCCCTGAGGATTTCTGAAGAAATCACAGGGTTGTGGAGCCTCTGTTGGTACAAAACTGCTGGTCATCATATGCTGATAGCCTCTGGGTGGCCTCCTTCCTCCACTGCTTGGTTTAGTTCACTGTTATTTGCCAAGATGGACTTTGAGCTGTTATTCTCATTTGATAGAGAGTAATGAGGCTTATTAGCTTTGAAGGGTCATGAATTTCTTTGGCAAGTTTGTGTTGCAAAGGCGATATCTAGAATATTGCTATTCAAGTAAGAAAACCCAAACAATTTCCCACCTCATTGTATGTATGTATATATGTACGTATGTATGTATGTGTGTGTGTATGTATGTATGTGCGTATTTCTTTTGTAGGGGAAATGCCTCAGGTTGACCATTTGGTGTTCATGGTACATGGCATTGGACCTGTGTGTGACTTGCGCTTTAGAAGCATTATTGAATGTGGTAAGTAGTAGTCATTTTATTTCATGGAATGATTTGAGAACTAATAGAAGGACTTTTAAGTGTTCTTTTTTAAAGCCAACTCCTGATTGTTCTGTATTTTTTTATTTTTGAGGAAGATTGGCCCTGCATTAACATCTCTTGGCAGTCTTCCTCTTTTTTCTTTTTTCTTCCCAAAGCCCCCGGATGTAGTTGCACATCATAGTTGTGGAGTTGTAGCTCTTTTATGTGGGATGCCGCCTCAGCATGGCTTGTTGAGCGGTGAGTAGGTCCGTGCCCAGGATCTGAACTGGCGAACCCTGGGCTGCCGAAGTGGAACATGTGAACTTAACTGCTGTGCTACCGGGCTGCCCCTAAGTGTTCATTTTTAAGATAGTTCCAGCTGTATACTACTGACTGAGGGACTGTAAGATGCGATTTAAATGGTCACTGGGAAATATCAATTTGTACTTGATTTGCTCTTATGACATATATAACTCATAAAATTCTAGACTGTGAAGAATTAGAAGGGCTCTTGGAAATAATTTAGACTTTCTGACAGACAGCCTCTGCCTAAGCACTTCCAGCAACTAGAAACACCTGTGTGTTGAGCTGATTTATAGTGAATTAGTTGTGAGAAAATGTTACTGGAACTATGAATCTGCCTGGTTTACTTAGAATTTTGAAGTTTTATTTTTATGTCTGTATAATAATAGTTTGTATTTATTGAATACTTGGTGTGTGCCAAGTGTCTTCCATGTATTACATCATTTAACCCTCACAATCAGCGTTTGGGGCCTAGGTGCTGTCACTGTTATCCCCCCATAGGTGATGAACTGGGGCCCAGAGGGGTAAGTTAACCTCTCCCGTATCACAGTCTGTGGCTTCTGGAGCAGGGATCCAACGGCAGGGAGTTTGATTCCAGAGTGTACCCATAGTGCCCTGCTGACTCCCAGTAGTGGTAGTTAAACTAATGTTTTTTTAGTCATTTATACATTCCTGTAAAATAATGAAAAGTTAAAAAGAGCTTCCAAAAGGTTGGGGTTTAATTTTTTTGGACTAATTTTGTTATCTTTTTTTCCTCAAAAAGTTTGTGATAAAAGTACTGGCATGTTTGAGGGAATTGCTGACTACCTGTCGAGCTAGGAAAATTTAATCAATTTAATTTGTCTTCCCTGATTTTTTTTTTAAGTGGATGATTTTAGGGTGGTTTCTCTCAAATTGCTGCAGACGCATTTCAAGAAAGCTTTAGATGATCGGAAAGTAAGCAGAGTGGAGTTCCTTCCAGTTCATTGGCATAGTTCCCTAGGTGGGGATGCCACAGGTGTTGACAGGTTGGTGGATTTTGATAACTTGTTTTTCAGATTAGTCAAACTTAAAATTTAAACCATAATATGAAATAGTTTATTATGACTTGAACAAATGTATTTCTTTATTTTAATTATATACTTGTTCTGATGTATGATTAAATACTGGCTGTTAGGTTTATATGCTACTTTTCTGTGTGTGTGTGTGTGTGTGTGTGTGTGTGTGTGTGTGTGAGTCCATGCATACATATATATGCATTCTGTTTTTTTCTCCCTCCCCCCTCCCTCCAAAGCCCCAGTAGATAGTTGTATGTCATAGTTGCACATCCTTCTAGTTGCTGTACGTGGGACGCGGCCTCAGCATGGCCGGAGAAGCGGTGCATCGGTGCGCGCCCAGGATCCGAACCCAGGCTGCTAGTAGCGGAGCGCGCGCACTTAACTGCTAAGCCACGGTGCCGGCTCATATGCATTCCTATTGTAAAGATTTAAGAGAATCTTAAGATATTTAAGCCAGTTTTAAAATACTATTCTAATCTGTAGTGGTTTAGACAAGGGCCTGTCTTTTACATTGTAGGATGTTTAGCAGTATCCTTGGCCGCTACCCTCTAGGTAACAGTAGCACCCGCCCCGCCCCAGGCCCCCAGATTATTGTTCCTCAGTAGAAACTCTCTTGGCAGGACAATTCTTTATCATGCAATGCTGTTGTGTGCACGGTAGGCCGTTTAGCATCCTTTGTCTAAAGGCCAGCAGCACTCACCAGGCACTGTGACAACTAAAAATGGCCCACTGAATTTTGAATGTTCCCAGCTGAGAACTACAGATTTAGGAAATATTTACACTGGAACACAGGGCTAATAACGTAACTGGATTCTAGTGAATGTCATCATGTTTCAGGGCACAGGTTTAATAAAACAGATCCTACAAACAGCATTCTATGTTATTCCTTGTTAGGCCCTATTATGAGAGTGTTTTCTTTCTCTCTGGATGTTCATGAATTTTACTATGGCCATTCTCAAATCAGGAAAGATTTTCATTCCATGAAGCTCCTTTCTTGCCCCTTGCTACGTTATCTATTGTCCTTTCACCACAATTTTTTGTCAGGTACTCTGATTTCCAATTAATTGGAAGAAAAATGGAAGAGTAGGCTTTTCTCTTTAAAAATAAAATTAGAATCTTGGTATGGGCCTTAGTTTATATGATGACTCTTCAGAGAATCCCAAAATCATAGTACAGTTGTAGGCACACATAACAACTTCTTTGCCTTATCTTGATTTATTTTTAATAACTCTGTCTACAGAATCAACTTGTAATTAGTCTGTGGGCTTCTTTTACTTGTATTTTCAGAAATCAAAATCTAAACTTTTAAAAATCCATAGATATAAGGTGGCTACTCAATGAACATACTTTTTTTTTCTGTCTAAACAGGAATATTAAGAAAATCACTTTACCAAGTATTGGTCGGTTTCGTCACTTTACCAATGAAACCTTGCTAGATATTTTATTTTACAATAGCCCCACCTACTGTCAGAGGATTGTGGAAAAAGTAGGAATGGAGATAAACCGTCTGCTTGCACTCTTTATGAGTCGGAACCCAGACTTCAAAGGAGGGATCTCTGTTGCTGGTCACAGTTTAGGTAAAGCTGTCAAATATCCACATTTTAAACATAATTTTTGTTGAGTTATCACTGCTTTCAGTGTGGGTGACATTGTTAGTGCAAGATTTAGAATTATAGATTTAAGTTTTATAAAGGGTAGAAGTGAATGCTTTGACTTTAGATTCTCCCGTTGGTGTTTACCTCTTCTAGGAATTACCTAGGAATGCTTTATATTTTAATTTATTCTCTGTGGCAAAACAAGAATATTGATTATCAGATCGTAATTAACATGTAACTTTTGTATCACTTCTGCCTACGGACTTGGAAAAAAAAAGTAAGAGACTTTATTTTGTGTTATACAAGTACCTAGTGCTTTATAAAACAAAATCCTTCTTTTTCTTAGGTTCTTTAATATTGTTTGACATCCTGTCTAATCAAAAAGATTTGAATTTATCAAAGTCTCCTGGGCCTTTTGCTGTTGCTAATGGAGTTGTGAAGCAGCCACATTTTCAGGAAAAGCAGGTATGACCCAATTAACATTTAGATTTAGAGTTGGAGCTGAACAGTTTTCCAAAATCTGAATTGTTTCCTGAAATGTTTTTATATGTCAAAGTATAATGAAGTTTACAAGTGTAATGGAATCGTATAGCTTGTTGTTTGAGTTTCTCACTCTTCTTCCTTATGGATTATAAATTTAAATGTGAGAGAAAGTTTGATTTAAAAAAAGTTAAATTATTGTGGGAAATGGGAGCATGAGTGATTATTAAATTTATATACTTTTTTAGAATATTCAAACTTTGGATGACAAACTACCTAAAATTATGATTTGTATGTAGAGCAAAATTGTTTAAAATTTTTTTGTAGATCAGGAGACATTTTATGGGACTTTTTCTGAGCTTTGCAATGTTCCTGACTTTTTTTTTAAGATGCCTGAAGAGCCAAAGCTGACTTTGGATGAGTCTTGTGATCTTGACGTTGAAAATGAAGAAGTCCTAACTTTGCAAGAAACTCTGGAAGGACTTAGCCTCTCTGAATACTTTAGCACTTTTGAAAAGGAAAAGATTGATATGGAATCTCTGGTACTGGTGATCGTTTGATTCATTTTTGTTTAAAATTGTTTTTCCTGTGTATAAGATTGAAAATTAACAATGATTTAAACACTCTTACATCACGATATATTCCAGATAAGGCAGAGACTTAAATGTTTAAAAAATTGAAAAACACAGGAGAATTTTTTTAATATAATTTGGGAAGGCTTTTCTAAGTATGATACAAAACCCAGAAGCATAAAAGAAAAATTGCATAGCGGGAGACGCCATAAACAACACGTAAAGGCCAGTGCTAGATTAAGACTATTTAGAACACGTTATAGACAGAGGGCTTATTTCCCTACTTATTCAAAGCTTCTACAAATTAGTTACACAAAGACCATCAGCACAATGGGAAAATAGGCAAAGCATATGAACAGATGATATATAGGAAAGGAAGTAACAAGTATCGTATCGTATGAAAACTCATGAGAGAAATGCGTATTATCATAAGAAATGCTTCTTATGAAAACTCATGAGAGAAATGCAAATTAAAAGTGCAGTGAGATTTTTTTTAACCTATCAGTTTGGCAAAAATAAAGAATTTGATAATATACTGTGTAACCAGGAGGAGGGGAAGTAGGCATTGTTACATATTGTTCGTGAGAGTGTAAATTGGTACAGCCTCTGTGGAGGGCAGTTTGGCAATATCTTTTAAACTATGAAAAATACCTTTTGCCCCAGCAATTTCACTGGCAGGAATAATTCCTACAGAGAAATATCCGCACAAGAACATCTACAAGAATACTCACTGCAGCACTGTTTGTAATAGCAAACCTTAGCGACACCCTCTGTGTCCAGTAGTAGGGCACTGGTGAAATCATTTATGGTGCCTCCACATAATGGAATACCCTGCAGCTGTTGAGTGAATGAGACGACGTCAGAGATATTGGTGTGAAATGACCTCTAAGAAACGTTATGTGAAAAGAGCAAAGTTCAGTCCTGTTTGCGTAGCAGGCTACACACACGAGGAAAAACGTGCAGATGCTGTGTGTACATAAGATATCTGTGGAAGGAGAGCAGATTGCCAGCAGTTGCTTCTGAGAGAACTGGGTGGTTGGGCCAAGAGTGGAGATGAGAGACTTCGTTGTATGCTTGACTATAGCTTTTGAATTTTGTACAATAAGCTTGTGTTTTCTGTTAAAAATTAATAGAATGATTTAGATTTGGAAGCCTAAGATGTTGCAGTCTAAATTAACCCATGATTTAAAAACAAAAAAAATTAACTTTAAAAAAATTGATTGGATCTTAGATTGCTTTAGATGATATGGTTTCTTGTTATAATTTCCTTATTTCAATTGCAGTTCATCTGTCACTAGATTGGTTAATTAATGTGCTTGTTTGTTTGCTTTTAAAGCTTATGTGTACAGTTGATGACCTGAAGGAAATGGGCATACCCCTTGGACCCAGAAAGAAGATAGCTAACTTCGTAAAACATAAAGCGATTAAACTGGTAAAGTTCATTTCTGCCCTAAAAAAGAAACTAAAACTCATCTGTGACTAGCATATTTTTGTTAATACCACTATGGTTAGGCCAGCTAGTGTGCTCCCTGCCCAAGGGCGCAGTAGTGGAGTTGATGGAAGCCCAGATTTGGGAGTCAGCCAGAACTGGATTTAAATTCCAGTTAGGGTAACTGACCATCCCTGTTTTCCTGGGACTGAGAGAATTCCCAGGATGAAGGACTTTCCGTTTTAAAATTGATATTTGGGGATTTCCCAGTACAAAAACTAAGTTATTCCGGACAAATCGATGAGTTGCTGACCCTAATTCCCAGTTCAACCACTTATTAACTACATATTCATGAACAGTTTGCTTAACTTGTCTGATCCTTGGTTTCCTTCATTTCTTTTATTTTTTCTTTCTTTCTTTTTTTTTTTTTTGTGAGGAAGATCAGCCCTGAGCTAACATCCATGCCAATCCTCCTCTTTTTGCTGTGATCCTTGGTTTCCTTCATTTCTAAAATGGGAGTGATGATACCTTCCTAATAAATGTCAGCTCCTTTTCCCTCTTCCCAATCCTGTTGACCATCTAAAGAGATAAGAACACACTCACTAAAATCTCATTATATAATAATTAAAAAGCAAAAATGCAGTACAAAACAAAGTAACAACTAAAAAACATTTAGAAATAAAACAACTGGGAAAAACTCACAAGTTTTATTTAATTTTCATTTATTAAATTAATTTTGTAGTGATTTTCTAAATACTTAATTAGAAAAATTAGCACTTAGGGTGGCTGTTTTATTTTTGTTGTTATTAACATGGTCTTTGTTGATCCTTCCATCTTTTGAACTACTGTAGTTCTTTTATTTGAGTTATGTGTTTGGAACTTAACATATACCCCCCTATATGTAGTATGACTATCAAGTCATAGGACTAATTTGTTATGATTAGCTTAAGCAGTTGAGTTATTCAGCATTTTATGAATATTTTTTGGGTCAGGTACTGGGCTCAGTTTTGAGGATTTGGAGATGAACTGAGGTCATGTGGTCTAGTTGGGGAGAGATTTGACCACAGTGACGATGCATCAGTCCTGTAACAGTGTGCTGTCCGTACTGTCCGAGCCAGATGAGGGGTGGCAGTTCTGGCCTGGGGAGAAGGGGCTGGGGTTGGTGAGAGAAGACCTCCCCAAGGTGTAGATGCTTGAGCTTGAAGGAGAGGTACCATCAGGGGAAATGGCCTTCCAGCAGTGGGCTGTGTTTTCCTCTGGCTGAAATAGCAGGTGAGCTGGGAATAGGGTGGGGCAGAGGGTCTGGAGGCCAGAATGGCAGATGTGGAAGTTTGGATTTTCTCTTGTAAGGGAGTGGTTCTCACCGTGTTCTTATGGCCATGAAAGTCACGGTGCTTTTAAACAGACATCATGAGATTCTGACCTGCTTCTGTGACAAATCATGATTTAACACCAAGTCTGTGTTCAGTCTAAATTTTAATTTTAACTTTAGAAATTTTAATATTTAAAAATATGTGCTGTGAAGCACATTATAATTTCAGGCATGAGCAAATGTATCTATAGTAAATGAATTTTTGAACATATTGACTCCTTCCTGGTTTTTCCATTAACATTTGCTTTCGTTTGCTGTCTGCTAGGGCCTACTGGCTGATGGAGTACTAAAGCGAAAAAAATTGGAGCACATCTTGAAGTTGAGAGAATTTTGTTAGCAACCTGATCTTTAAAATTTTATTTTTTTGTGAATTGGGCCACAGTTTCATTTTAGCAGCAGTAAAGCTCTTTCAGTTTTTGAGGGGACATTGAGGACCACTGCTGTAGGGCAGTGGAGCAGTGGGGACAGTTCCATGATGGGCTTGTGTTTTCGAGAGTTCACTTGGTTACAATGTGGAGCTGGAGTTGGAAGGGGATGAAGCTGGAGGCTGTTAGGAATTTCTTAGAGTAGGCCTTGTAATTATTCAGTGACTCAGCCAGAGATGATGGGGTATAATAGGAAATGGAAAAGAAGGGTGCAGCTCAAAAGACATTTTAGACATAAATATGTCTTTAGAACATTGTTTTTGGTATGTAGTTGATTGAAGGTAACAATGAAGATTAAGCGTTGAGAAAGAGGATGTTAGCTTTGGCAGTTAAGTTTAATTTCATTTTTTCTGTATATTGAATCATATAATTTCAGTTTACAAAGAGCTCTTCACTTCATCTGAGGCTCACAACAGGCCTGTGAGGTAGATCCCAAGGCATTAATCTCTGACGAGCTCCGTGGTCACACTGAAACCAGGCCCCGAGTGCGCTAGTGTCGTTCCTTTCTGTCAGGCTAGGTTCCCCGTGCCTAAGCACGTTTGTCTCCATGTGCACACCAGTGACACACAAGCCTGTAAAAGCACAAGAAATGAGAAGCTCTGCTTTCAGGCCCTATATCGTGTCCTTGGTTATGTTCTATAATAAAAGGAAAAAAGTAGAAAAGTGTTCTATAGTTCTTGAAAATTTTCTAGAAGGAGCCTGGTTTATACACTGTAGTTGCTTAGATATATAAATTATGGCATATAAGAATGTTTTGAAAGGAATGAAAGTCTATAAAGTGATCTTATTTTTTAAATTCAAAAGTAATTGCCTCTGGATGAACCATGAAACTTTCTCAGCTGTGTTGCGTTGATTGCTCTACATTTTTCACAGGTAACAAGAGCTACCAGATCAATAATAAGATAATACGGTGTGTCCTATTGATTTACTATAACTGAAATAATGGGATCAAAATTATCCAATTATTTTATAATCAGAAGATCAAGTATTTGTGGTCTGAGTGCTTTTTTTCCCCCTCTGTAAACCATTTTAGTGATTTTCATTTAAGGAATAGTTTTTAGTGTTGGGAATATTGATAGTCAAGTATGTGTGTATAGGTTCACTTCATTTTAAAATTATTGTGTGTGTCTAGGGGAAATAAAACAACTGTGCAATAGGACAGTTTATGATCTATTTAGACAGCTCTCTTATCAATTTAGGATATTCTATGAGTATAATGGGAGGTACTTCTGAGTGAGAAAGGAAATTTATTTATTTATTTTTATAATTTTATTTATTTATTTATTTTTTCCCCCAAAACCCCAGTTGTATGTCATAGCTGCACATCCTTCTAGTTGCTGTATGTGGGACGTGGCCTCAGCATGGCCGGAGAAGCGGTGCTTCAGTGCGTGCCTGGGATCCAAACCCAGGCCACCAACAGTGAAGCGCGTGCACTTAACCACTAAGCCATGGGGCCGGCCCAAGAAAGCAAATTTAAACTGAAGCACTCTGCATGTTCTTCATTTTGGATTTTAGGTTTAATCTTTTGCTGCCTCCAAAGGGCAGAGATAACCATGCCTTCCAAAACATTTTTGGTGGAATCAGTTCCAAGCTGGATGGCAGAGAGTTTTCTTTTTGCTATATTGCCTGTTGACTTAACCAATTGGACTTGTTTTCCTGATTTCCTAGTATTTGGAATTCATTAATAGACAAGATTGGTTTGGCCAGCTGTTTTGTTTGGGCACTGTTGATAGCTGTTTAAGCAGAGCCTTGCACAGTCATTCACAGCCTGGGGAGTGAGGGCTACTGGAACATGTGCTTGTGGGGAATGGCCACATCCACCCACGGCAGCTGTTCATGTTCTCCTGCTGCTGCTGCTGTATCAGGGTGTGATCACAAACCAGCGTGAGTGGATTTGATCTCATTACTTCAGTGATACTCCTGTTCCATAGATGCTCCCAAAGCTTTTGTTTACTTATTTATTTTTGGAAATGCGTACATCTTAAGTGTTCAGTGAGATGAGTTTTGACAATTTTTGCGCCTGTGTAATCACCACCTAAAACAAGAAATGGAGAGTTTCTGTCACTCATAATTCCATCATGCTTCTTTCTAGTCAACGCCTCCCACCATTCAACTGCGTGCTATTCTGATTTCTATCACTATTGAATAGTTTTGCCTGTTCTAGAAGTTCATATAAATGGAATCAACACTACATACTCTTTTGTATCTGGCTTCTTTTACTCAAAATAATGTTTTTGAGCTTCATCCAGTTGTTGCATCATTTGCAGATTATTCCTCTTTATTTCTGAGTAGTTATTCCTTTGTATGAATATACCACAATGTGTTTATCTGTTCTTCCCAAAACGCTTTTAAGGAAAACTTGTGAGTGGTTCAATGCAGACATAATGGGTGTAAATGTGTTGAATGAAGAAATTTCTCCTAAATTACACATCTTTATAGGAAGTATGTATTTTACAATTATATAGTACTTCTAAACTGTCTAAAGTTGAGATTGTAAAGGAAGAAGTTGGCATTTTTTACTTTTTTTTTTTTTGGTGAGGAAGATTGGCCTTGAGGTAACATCTGTTGCCAATCTTCCTCTTTTGCTTGAGGAAGATTGTCCTCTGAGCTAACATCTGTGCCAGTCCTCCTCCACCTTTTGTATGTGGGATGCTGCCACAGCATGCCTTGATGAGTGGTGTGTAGGTCTGTGCCTGGGATCTGAACCCACGAACCCCGGGCTGCCGAAGCAGAGTGCGTGAACTTAACCACTGCGCCACCAGGCCGGCCCCAATTTTTTATTTTTTATTATTAAAATGTTAAATTATGTAGAAAAGTAGAGTGACTAGTATAATGATAGCCAATACTTAGATTTAATTGTAGCTGTTTTGCTGTAGTTTTTCTTTGCTTCTTAATCTTTTTTTTATTAAGAATTTTAAAGTACATTATAGACATCATGGTAATTCCTCCTTAAGTATTTAGTGTGTGTCTCTAAAAAGGACATTTCTGTAATCACCACAATGCCATTGTTGTGTCTAAGAAATTACTGATCGTGCTGTAATGTTGAGATAGCATGTTTCGTAGTGATAGCTGATAACTGAACTTTTCCTCAAGGTTATGTTATGAAATGTTGCTATTTCACAGGAACAGAAAAAAGCAGCATCAGAAAAGAAGGCAGTGATGGCCGCTTCTGTGAAAGGACAAGAGGAAAGTGCTCAGAAAGCTAAAGAAATGGCTTCTCTCCCCTCAGAATCTAGTGAGTCCAAGAGGAAACTGCCAGTTGGTGCTTCTGTTTCTTCTGTGCGTGTTGATTATGAGTCTTTTGAAGTTGGCACTGGACAGGTAAGTTTACATGTTGACTAGGGCTGCATATTTTGTGTTGGAATCACGTCTTTATTATTTGTGTTGGCTTTAAATTCTTTAAACATTTATGGGAGGGTGGAGAAAATGGATTTTCTCTTAATAAAAATTGTATACTTCTTTCATAATGTTCAAAATAAGGGATTGAACGTTTTCTGAACATATCATCTAACTTTTGAAATTGTCTTTGTTTCAATTTTTCCACCACTCATAATTTTATAGCATTAGTCTCTCATAGACTAGCAACAGAAATGGTGATAGTTAGAAAATTATGTTCAGAATATACTTAAATTTCTGTGAGAGAAGCTTGCTGCATTCAGTCAACCTACGTTTTTTAGTATTCACAATTCTTCCCTTGGGGAAAAATTCCTATGAAAATCGACCAAGTAGTTGATAATGCTGCATTTAATAATATACTTTAATATACTTGTATCTCAGAGGCTTAGAAGTATGGAAATACTTTTATTTTTTATGTTTTTATTTAATTAATTTATTTTATTTGTGAGGAGATCATCCCTGAGCTAATATCTGCCAATCCTCCTCTTTTTGCTGAGGAAGACTGGCCCTGAGCTAACATCCATGCCCATCTTCCTCCACTTTATATGGGACACCGCCACAGCATGGCTTGCCAAGCAGTGCATCGGTGCGTGCCCGGGATCCAAACCGGCGAACCCAGGGCTGCCGCAGCGGAGCGCGTGCACTTAACCACTTGCACCGCTGGGCCGGCCCCTGGAATCAATTAGACAGTGATACTTTCAGTATATTTATAGTTGTGTGTGTAAGATTCTGTTATCATGAGTGCTTTCATGAATGATTTAAAGAAGGCAGCAAATGGAACTGGATGTTTGCTGTAGCCTGTTAAAGCTTTTAAGCCCAATTCATTGATAAAGAGTGCATTTTTTGTTTTTTATTTTGCTGAGGAAGATTTACCTTGAGCTAACATCTGTGCCAGTCTTCCTCTATTTTATATGTGGGATGCTGCCACAGCATGGCTGGTGAGTTGTGTAGGTCCGTGCCTGAGATCTGAACCCGTGAACCCTGGGCTGCCGAAACAGAGTGCCTGGAACTTGAACCACTCGGCCATGGGGTTGGCCCCAAGAGTGCATTTTTTAAATGTCTGTTTTTGAACATGAGCAAACTTGAACAGACTCTAGCAAATAAAGGGCAGATATTTCCTCACCTAACTGTGAAGGGGCAGAGGGGAGAACGAGATTTGTGGAACCAGGGGCTCCATGCCACCAGGACACTCTCACTGTGTGCCCTCCTCTGGGAGTTGGCCTTCTCCATGAAACTGGAGTCAGGGGTATTGGTGGCTCTGGGCTCATCTCTTTACAGCTTTATGACCATAGAGGAAAAGGAATCTCTCCTGGGAGGTCCATTTAGGAAAATTTCAAGGAGAGATTTTACTTGACTTGGTTTGAGTCACAAGTCCTTCTGGACCAATTCTTGTTGCCCGCGGAATGGGGCCCAGGTTGATTGACCCAGCCCAGGTCATGTGCCACCTCCATGGTGGGTGGGCCACTGTGGGCAGGTAGGATCTGTTACCCAGAGGGTTGTTGGGCAGTCCAGACAACAGGCACAGTGTGCATCATTCATTGCCAGAAAGCCAAGAAGTAGTGATTAAACAAAAGAAGAGTAAAAAAATAATTTCATAATCTCCTTTACCAGAGCTAACCACTGTTAACTGTTTGAACAAGGCATTCTAGACTTTTAATCGAGTATATATTTACGTATATATTTTAACAAAAAGGAGGAAATACTACATGTAATCTTTTACTAAAACATTATACTTGCTGTTTTCAAACAGTATATTGTGAATATATTCCCATGTAAGTTAATATCCGTCTCCAAGTTCATTTTTAATGACTGCTCTGTTTCACTGTTTTGAAAGAATGATTTATTCTGTCATTTACTTGTTATTGGATGTACTGGTTTTCCAGGGCTGCCGTAACAAAGTCCCACAAATTGGGTTGCTTAAAACAACAAAAATTTATTGTCTCACAGTTCTAGAGGCTGGAAGTCCCAGTCCGAGGTGTCAGCAGGGCCATGCTCCCTCTGAAACCTGTAGGGGAGAAGCCTTCCTTGCCTCTTCCCAGCGCTGGTGATTTACCAGGTGTTCCTTGGCTTGCAGATGCATCGCTCTGGTCCTCCATTTTCACATGGCGTCCTCTCGTCTTCACATTGTCTTCCCTCTGTGCATGTCTGTCTCTCTGTCCAAATTTCCCCTTTTTATATTAACATCAATCATATTGGATTAGGGCCCACCCTAAAGAACTTATTTTAACTTGATTACTGCTGTAAAGACCCTATTTCCAAATAAAGTCTCAGGTACTGGTATGTATCTTTTTTAAGGGGAGACATAGTTTAACCCATAACATTGGACACGTAGGCAATTTCTAGTTTTTCACTCTTTGAAGCAATCCAGTGGTGAACAGTTTTAAATCAATTTTCTGTATACATTCTTTATTGTATCTTTCAGTTAAATAAGTAGAAGTGGGATAGCTGGGCTAAAGGATGTGCACATGGAAATTTTGGTAGTTACTTCTGCTTGCCCCTGGAAAGGTTGTGCCAGTTTGTACTCCCACTAGCAGGTTATAAGATTGCCTCTCTCCCCTCTCCCTCATAGTATTGGTATCATCATTCTCCTTTAAAAATATGTCGTGTTCTTACTTTTATAATTTTTTTCTAAAGAAATAATTTTTTTTACATGAAAATAGGAGATTTTTACTTTCTTTTTAGTATTTTGTTTGTATCTCTGGTAACTTTATAGGGAAAATGATATCTCACTGTATTTCTTTGAGCACTAGCGAGGTTAGATATTATCTCATACGGTTTTTAGGCATTTTTCTTTTGTGAAGTGCTAGTTTTACCTCTTTTTCTATTGAGTTCCTTTTTTCTTTACTGATATTTAAGAATTCTTTATATATTAAGGATATTAGCCCTTTGTCATATATGTTGTAAATATTTTTTTCAGTTTGTAAGTTTTCTTAAGTTTTTTTTTTCTGAAGCTGGGGGAAAATGCATAATCTTGAGAGCATCTCCTATGTGGCCCTCATCAGTTGCAGAAACTATTGAATTTGCTAGTATAAGGGCAAGCCAAGGGATGTGAAGTCTAGACTTTGTTAGAAACGGCAGCCTAGGGGCCGGCCTGCTGGCATAGTTGTTAAGCTCGTGTGCTCCACTTTGGTGGCCTGGGGTTCGCAGGTTTGGATCCCGGGCCCAGACCTTTGCACTGCTTGTCAAGCAACGCTGTGGTGACGTCCCACATACAAAAATGGAGGAAGATCGGCACGGATGTTAGCTCAGAGCCAATCTTCCTCACCAAAAAAAAAAAGATCAGCCTAGTGTAGTAGAAAGAGCATTGGATTTGGAATTAGCAGTCCTCATTCTGCCCCTCACTGCTGTGTGCTCTTGGGTAAGGGATGTCACCTATCTGAGCATTACTGCCTTCACGTGAGAAGTGGACATGATGATTCTTGCCGTACCTCCCTCTTTCAGTGGACCTCTACTGAGCACTTGAATTGTGTCATTCGTTGTTCTTCGCTCTCAGGATACTAAAATGATGAAGACACACGCTGCCACTGAGCAGCAAACGAAAGAGCTTTGTAAACTGCAGAGTGCTATACGACTGTCGGTGCTTTCTCTTACTCTAGGCAGTTCTCAGTGAGCTGAGAGGCTGCATGCAAGCTGCCCCCAAACCCAGGCTCTTTTGGGACAAATCATTTTTCTAATGGAAAGAAACTTACCTTAACAAATGAGGATGGTAGTTATAATAGAAGTAACAGTCTTTAAATGCTTAAAATATGCCAAGCTCTGTGCTAAGCACTTTATGTGGATTAGGTTATTTATTTTTCAATCACATTATGAGTTTGGCATTGTTATGATCCCCATTTTATAGATGAGGAAAGTGAGGCTGAGGCAAGAGAGGTTAAGAAACTTGCCCAAGGTCACACAGTAAGGAGTGGAGCCAGGATTCAAACCCAGGCAGTTTGATTTAGAATCTGCAGTTTTAATCACATTTATAACTATAATAAATATAATACTTGCTATTTACTGTATATATTATGCTATACAACAAGTAAAAGTATAGCCAGAGGATGTAATAATCTGTAAAGATTTTAAAGAGAAATTTTTTAATCCTTTAAAGCTAGGAGCAGCTGTCCATGACAGTGATTATAAGCATCCTAAGCCACACCTTGAGGGGCATCATCTGTGTTGGGATGCTTTTAATTAAGTGCAGTTCCAGCTTGAACTTTGGAATTTTGAATTATGTGACATTGGAATAACCATCTTTTATTGTTTTTTGATTCTTTCTAGGTGTCTATTATTTACAGCTCATTAGACTTTGAACCAGAGATTTTCTTTGCCTTGGGGTCTCCAATTGGTATGTTTCTGACTATTCGAGGAGTGGACAGGATAGATGAGAACTACAGGCTTCCCACCTGTAAAGGGTTCTTCAATATTTATCATCCAGTGAGTGAATTGCATTTACTTCCTGTTTTGAAGAAGGTGAAACGCCTGTCCTCTTCATGCTAATAGATTCTCAGAGTATTTCTTAGGAATTAATACTGATTTTGATTCTGTACAACTCAGCTCTCTGTCCTAATAGATACAGTCTGATACTTTCCAATAAGTTTTTCTACCAGAAAGCCTTTGTTCAAGGAAATAATTCTATTGCTTTACTTGGAAAGTAATTTTATTCACAAACTTGAAAGTCGTGTTGTAAATCACTGGTATTTGAATAACGTGTGAAAAAAAAAATCAAAATCTCTGGTTTGCCAGTTATCCCTTTTCTCACCCAACTAAGATATGTAACTCAAAATAAAACAGCTTTTCATAAATTTCCAATTCTTCTATTCATAGCTTGATCCAGTGGCCTATAGATTAGAACCTATGATTGTTCCAGATTTGGATCTAAAAGCAGTTCTCATTCCACATCACAAAGGCAGAAAAAGACTTCATTTAGGTAAAGAGCAAATACTATAAAAACTTGTTTCCTTCCTATCATTTTGTAATCTGTCATTTGTCATGAATTATGAAAATTTTAACACAAAGTCTATTCTGACAGAATTAATGTTATTTAAGTGCTTACTATGTTCAGAACCTGTTTACTGAATATTTGGAGGAGCTATAAAGAAAGTTATGAATGAGTTCCTTCTCCATGATGACTTTCTCCTTGATAACCTTCTAATTGTTGAGATAATTAGGAATGGGGGAAGTTGGTAATAAAGTGATGAGATGCATAGATTTTGACAGGATTTGTTTATAATTTTTGGAATTGGAAAGCAGAATAACATTTGAACTAATGACCAAACCATCAAGAAATAAATTTGATGCTAAGTCAAGTGAGCTGTTATTTCCTTGCTAACTAGACAAACTTTTTCTATTTAAAAAATTCATTAAACAGAATGGATTGATAATAATTCCAAGTGGAGTTTAGGTTTCTCTTATGCCAGTTGACAATGTTGGGTGGGAGGGATGGGAGTACAAAGGAGAAGAGCAGGAAAAGTGGTCATGCTCTCTTATTTAAAGTGTTTTTTTTTTTTTCTTTTTTGTTTACATCATGCTTTTTAAAAATACTTGACTTTTTTGAAGTTAAAATGAGAAATTTGATGCTCAAAGACCTTGAATTCAAATATGATTTATTAGACAAAAGTAGAAAAGGTGAAGGGGCAGGAGTTTCTTCATTTTTAAATTAGAAGTTTAAATTGTGGTTATTTCAGAATCTCAAATTCTCAAAACAATTCCACGTTACAGAATAGAAAAAGTCATCTTTTTAATCTTGGGCCCATATTTTAACTTACATTAAAAAAACCCCACATGAATGGGGTGGGAATGTAACCCCACTTACATTTTTATAGTATTTCAACTCTTTTTTTTGGAGGGAGGAAATTTATAGGTTTTGGCTGGCTCAAGTTTAGTTGTTAAAAAAATGACAGAATACGACTCCTCAAAACATTTTAACATGTTGCGAGTTCTTGGCTGAGAAACTCCATATATTTGACATTTAAGAGAGGAATAAGAGGTCTTATCCTGTCTGAGAATAGTGTTAACTTTTGTTTTAATTTTTGTGGTGCAGAATTTTACCCAGTGACTAATAACTTGATGTGTCATCTTCATCTCTGTAGAGTTGAAAGAAAGTCTCTCGCGTATGGGATCTGATTTGAAGCAGGGCTTCATTAGCTCTCTGAAAAGTGCTTGGCAGACGTTGCATGAGTTTGCCCGTGCTCATACCTCTTCACCTCAGTTGCAAGAAGAGTTAGAGAAGGTAGCCAGTCAGATCAGAGAAGAAGAAGAAAAGCGAGTAGTTGAAGGTAAAGTTGATATTTGAGGCATTTTCCAGTACAAATGTTATTTGTGAATATCACGCTTATAAATTATTTAATGATGCTTTTCCATTCTAGTCTTTTTTGTTAAAATGTAGAGGCTCTTCCTGTGAAGCAAAATCTGTTGTGATAATCTTTATTTCGAAATGCATGTCATCCTTTTTTACTAGGTTTTTGCCTGATAAGTTACTGAACTTTTTACTCTGTAATCTTAAAGTTTTGCTGAGATTCAGAAACCAGAGTGGAGTGTCAGAGTTGAGGACCAAGTTTGTATTCAGGCATTCTAAAGACCCACTCTGAGAAATGATCTTGATGCTGTTGTTGAACTGTGTCCGTTATAGACGTTACAGGCAATGTCAGGTCATTGTGCCTTGATGTTTTTGACTTTTTCAGATTCTAATTCTATTTCCTTTCTTTCTACAATGCTCTCTCACCCCTTTTCTTCAAAACTTCTGTCAGCTCGTTGGCTCTTTCTCCTCTCTCTCGAGTAACCAGCCCCTCTTCCCTTGGCTCTTTGGAGGAATGGGAAGTGAGCCTGGTAGCTCCTCAGGTTGCTACGTGTGTCAAGCAATATTCTCATTGAGCCCAGAGAGTCAGCTAAAGTCAAAGGATAATGATTAAGTGATTGACTTTGACATTGAAATGGTTTAAATTCTAGCAGAAAAGATTGTTGAAAGTCCAGATTTTTCCAAGGATGAGGACTACTTAGGAAAGGTTGGAATGCTAAACGGAGGCCGTCGAATTGACTACGTTCTTCAAGAAAAGCCAATAGAGAGTTTTAATGAATATCTTTTTGCTCTTCAGAGTCACTTATGCTATTGGTAAGTGTTCTCATCTTTGATAACATTCACATGGCCTTTAGGTGCTAGCACATACAGCAGATTTAGTGACTCTTTTGCTGATTTATCATTTGTTATGGAATATTAATTTGAATGCCCATATACTCAAAATCAGTATTTCCCTCCTTTAATTTAGTTTCCAGAAGATGGCAGTATGTCATCTGCCTTTAAAGGCCTTTGGTACTTGCACACTGTTTTGTTTTTGTTTTCTTTTCCTGAGGAAGATTACTCTGAGCTAACACCTGTTGCCAATCTTCCTCATTTTTTTGCTTGAGGAAGATTAACCCTAAGCTAATATCTGTGCCAGTCTTCCTCTACTTTATATGTGGGTTACTGCCACATCGTGGCTGACGAGTGGTCTAGGTCCACACCTGGGATCCGAACCCATGAACCTGGGCCGCCGAAGCGAAATATGCCATACTTAACCACTACATCATGGGGCCGGCCTCTGCACACTGTTTTTGTAGGATGGTTTTCGCAGGATGGGAGTGGTAGGGACTTTGAAAAGCCATCCTTTCATATATCCCCCTGTCACCAAGGAGAATTGCAACACGGCTATTTTGGAGCTGAATGGTATCCATCCAATTTGTAAGGACAGCTCTGAGATTACACTTCTTTTCATTAATGCCCTCCTTAGGTAGAGTCGAATAGAATAAAAGCTGTGTTTTCCACCTTTATGCATAGAAGTTAATTTCTACTAATTGTCTCTTAAGTAAACGTTCTTTTCTTTTTGATAGGGAATCTGAAGATACTGCCCTGTTATTACTTAAAGAAATTTATCGAACAATGAACATTAGTCCAGAACAGCCCCAGCATTGATTGGACTTCAGTTTCACTCTGTGAGTTTATCTTTATTTTGTGTATAAATTCTTTTTTTTTTTTTTAAAGATTT